ATATATATATATATATATATATAATAGTATTATGAAATTGTTATAAAAAGCACAAAATACAAAATCATCAACAAATCAATGTATTACAAAATCTCATATAATTAGCAAATCTCACTATCCAATTTCCAGCCGTTTTCCAGACGTAAGCCTGATTTGCATAGCCGCTGGGAATTGGAGAGAGCTGCTGGACGTTGCCATGTCTCTCAGCAGGGACGCATTAACTGCCACCGTGACTCCCTGCTGAGTTAATGGCCCTACTGACTCCAAATCAAGTTTTCCACTGCAACTTCTCATTGTCTTGCCAGTGACCGTTCTGACCAGCTGAGCAAGTGTCTGGTCAAAGACGTGTCCTCATTATTGCACAGTGTACAATATATAACCCAGAATGTATATATGTCTTCAGATGTGCTTGAGAGATGTCAAGGTAGTTTGAATGGCTTATATAAGCTCTCAGAGCTGTGCAGCTGGGTAATTAGTGCTCTCTGTGCTTCTGTCACAGGCTGCAGATCAGATTAAGCGACTCTATGATCTGTTCCTCAAAGTCGACGCCACTCAAGTCGAAGTCAATCCGCTCGGAGAAACACCTGAGGGACAAGGTAAGACGTGCGTGTGTGTGTGTGTTCATGCATGAATGACAGACAAAAACGCTTGCTCACGGATTGCATGAGAGCTTCTGTAAAGATCCAAATAGGACTTTGTAGCTTCCAAGGATAAATGTCATTTCACACTAATGTTTTTATCAAACTCGTGGATATGGAGAGTGCTGCCTCAGCAAAACTTTACAGGGCTTCTCCCACGTAACACTGGCACAAATATGCTCGTAATATGACCAAATGCTACTCCCAATACCATTTCCACTTGTTTTTTTTGTTTTTTTTATAGGTACCTGTTAGGAAATGATGTAGGATGTTGTAACGTTTATTGGTATGAAATTACATACAGTAGGTCCAGAGAGGGTAATGCCTGCAGTATTAGCCTGTCAAATTAAAGAAGGGGAGAGAAATCATCTCGGCCCTGCACCATAATGGCAAAATGATTTAGTCCTCATAGGGGCCGTCACAAAAGTGCCACCACATTTTCTCTACTTTTTTCCTTTCTTTTTTCCTTGCTTTTGTGCTGTATTTTTGTTCTTTTAATTTCCTTTTAATTTTATTTAAATTTTTAATTCATATACTTTTTTATTTAATTTAATTATATATAATAATAATAATATATACTGTATATATATATATGAAATGTATTTAATTAAATGTAATTAATTCATTAATTTTAATTAATTATTTTTTTCTTTTTTATTAATAGTTTTATTTTACTTTTTGTTGTATTTTTTCTGTTCTTTTTTCCTTTTTGTTATTATTGTCTTTTCTAATTTTATTTTATTTTGTTTTATTTAATTTAATTTTGAACCTTAATTTTTTAATATTTTAATATTTTTTCACATTTCTCTATTCTTCTTAACCCTTTATATGTATCTGTATATTTGTCTTATATTTAATCCTTAGTAAAATATACAATTGATTTCAATCCAGAGATTATTACAGAAATAATGAGATTTAATGAGATTACAGAAAATGTTTGTTCAGTTAGTTTGTCCAAACTGCAACTTTTGTACTTTTGAATAACATTAATTCTAAAAGTCTTTTCTAATTGTATTTTATTTTATTTTCAATTTTTAATATTTATTTTTTCACCTTTCTCTATTGTTCTTAACTCTGTATATTTGTCTTTATTTCAGGCTTTCATTTATTCTTTAGGTTAGTTTGTTTGTTTTTTCTATGAAAATAATAATAGAGCTTTTCAGGAAACACTGACATTAATCGTGATATTTTCTTGACAGCAGCATCAAAACAAAAGTCAACAAATGTCTTTAGATGCATTGTTTGCTTTATTTTATTTGTCAAAAGTGACAATAACTGTCTTGGTCTCCTACTTAAAGCACTTTCAAACGTATTATCAAACTGCATGTTTTCATTAAACATCAAAAAACGTTGTTTTGTCAGCTTGCAGTGGTAAAACTGATCTAGTTTTTTGTTACTGTCTCTGCTTTGCATTCTTTATCTGTACTTTACCCATAGTTCCCTGCAAAAGTAAGTAAAACTCTCCTGGTAACAGTGTAAAGTTGAGTTTGATAATAGCTCAGTGAACCCAGTGTACTTCCCTACACAGATTAGCTTTGTTAGCGAGCGCCGAGTCCTTGCAGGCTCGAGAGGCTGCAAAACACTACAAATGAGAGAGTTGTTGGGTCTGGTCACATACGGCCAAGACAGTCAAAGTAAACTCTATTCCCAGGCTAATTTTCTGAAACAGCTTCTGTGTTTGTGTGGCTGTTTGTTGTATAAGATGCTCCCACTGCATAAAATAAGCTATATAGACGTACATAGTGTCAGTAAATAAAGATCATGTTGTAACTATGTGTTTAGTTATATGCAGCTCCCTTTCACTCGGTGTAAATTATTGGATTTGGAACTGCCGTCACCAATTTGCCACATGCACAAGATACATATTTGAATAATAACAGATGCTTTGAAAAACTCATATTGAACAAATTGAACATGTCTGAATCTTGCCCAACTGTAAAATAGAAACATTGACCATTGGAACACCCTCCTAAACCCAATGAATGTCATATTCTTTCTGCAATTCCAGTGGTGTCATATGGATTTCTGTTTAAGCATAAACGATATCTGCAAAGTTACGACGCTGAAAGTTCAATGCAAACGGAGATATCGTCTTTTAAAATGATGGCAGTTTAATGCCTACAAAAACGGCTCGTAGGGACTACAACAAGCTACTTCCTGGGTTTGTGACATCACAAACCCAGTAATTTACATAAACCCCGCCCCCAGGAACATGCAACAAAGTGGGCGAGGCCATGTTGCACTGCTTTAGAGAAGAGGAAGAGTTGTTGCCATGCCATCAAAACTAGGGGTGTGTGCATGAAAAAATATATTCATATATGAATCGTGAGTCTGTCTTCTAACGATTCTAATAGATTCACAAGTTTCACAATCAATGTTCTAAAGCAGCGGTTCTCAATCCTGTTCCTCGCATCCCCCTGCTCTGCACAAGCTCTGCATCTCTCTCTCGCTCTCTCTCTCATTCAGATCATCAGATCACCAGCTCAGCTCCCAACAATGAACTGTTCCAATTATACACTTTTATACACTTTACGCGGTTGCTGTACTGTATTAAAGCTTTAATCAGGATAAAACCGTATATTAATAGCTAACATAAGCAGTAGCATTTACAAATAACAGCGTATCTAAAAGTATGAGACAACAACAAACAAAAAACATAGCATTAAGAGCAGTGCTTGCACAGGTTATGCGCGATCCTCTTCACTAATGTCCTTTGCATTCCATTCGGGCTCAAATTGATAAGCAATATTGACGACGCCATTGTTTACAATACAACCGGAGCACATGCTGCTGAGCTGAGGGGTGGGACGTTTAGACGCGCTTTGGGCTGGCAATTTAGCGAATCACAACACACTGGGCCAGCTAACCAATCAGAGCCCATCGCGTATTTCTGAGGGAGGGGCTTCATAAAACCAGGAACTCATCGGAGCGTTTATCAGAGAAGGGACAGAGCAGTGTAGAATAAAGGTAAATTATGTGAAAAATAACGCGTTTTTTTTTTTTTTAACGAAGCATTAACACAAGTTAGACTGCACCCCATAAACACAATCAAGCCTAGAAAAAAACCAGTCAACCACCCCTTTAATAAATAAAAAGTCACTTTTAATAAATTTAATGCATCCTTGCTGAAAAAATAGTATTTATTTCTTCTTTCACAAAATAATAATAATAATAATAAATCAATAAATTAGAAAAAAAATGAAAAGAAAAAAAAACTTACTGACCCCAAACTTTTGAACAGTAGAGAATTCCTTCTCTCCTTATTTTAAACAAAGGAGTAGCCATTTACATTTAGTGCTTACAAAAATATCAAATTGATTTTATTCCAGAAATTATTACAGAATGAATGAGAGTAGAGAAAAGGTTTGTTCAATTTGTTTTTGTGAAGTGCAGTTTTTGTACAGCTTTTAGCATAAACTGACCTGTGAAATTTGAAATTTAACCTTACTTTTATATGCTGTTTGTTTATATTTCCCTGTATACTTTTGCATGAGTATGACACAAAAGTGCATTGAAATACAGTATTTGACACTATGTTCCAACACTTTTCTGCTGTCTGTCCGCAGTGGTTTGCTTTGATGCTAAAATCAACTTCGACGACAATGCGGAGTTTAGACAGAAAGCTGTGTTCGCCATGGACGATACTGCGGAGAGTGACCCCTTGGAGACCGAAGCAGCCAAATATGATCTCAAGTACATCGGACTGGATGGAAACATAGCCTGTTTTGGTTTGTTTTAATCTTTCATATACTAAAAATACCAGATGAACTTCTACATTAAATAATGAACAACATACCAAATGAACTTGAAATTTCAAAGCTTTCAGAAACCTGTTCCACATCAAGCTCATGTCTCAAGGGATATTTCAAATCCAGCTTTAGAAATGCTTTTCTTAGTAGTTTCCAACATGTTTATTTTAGTCTTGAGAACAGGATTTTGTGAAAGTGTTACCAAACGGGCGCCAATCCAGTCATCATCTCCAGCAGCTCTCTTAACAGCTCCATAAGGGACCTGCTTGAACCGATGGGCTCTAATTAGCAGGAATCTTCCGGAAAAACGACTCAACCAAGATGATTGTTAGTCTACACATTTAAGTGGTCCCTCATTATAAATCACAGCTCTCACAGCAAAGCGCCAAGAAAGAAGCGTATAGACAAGATGAGCGCAGAAGTGACTCTAACTGACCTTGTCGTGTAGACACAAACGCATTCACGCACAATTTACTTGCAGTTAGTTTACACCTTAAAAGCTTTGTAAACTGGCAAAGCGACAGCTGTTCAGCTGAATTTCACTTTATTGAGTCGAGTGCCAGAGCCTGTGCCAACACGTTAGCTCAGCGCTGAAGAACAGAATAAGGGGAGATGTGTGAAGCTGGGAGAGCTGGGATGAGCAGGAAATGGCTGAATCAGTTGGCTGCCTTACAGCTCAAAGCACGACGAGATGGGACTCACCAGGCCGGCAAACACAGATACTACAACCACTCTTGACACCCTGTATACTTTTAGTCAAACACAATTTGCTTTCCTTGGAAAGCAGTGAGCAGCAGATTTAGAGCTGAGCTGTGTTTTCATTGGGGATGGGATGTTAAATTACTTTTTTATTTGCTTTTGTCTGTGCTTTTCTTGTAAATGTGCCGTACGGACGAGGCTTATAGTATGTATGTATGTATAACCATGTATATACTGTAATTCCTAATTTGGAACCAACTTAAAGCCATTAGTTTGGAAAATCGTGCAGTTATTTACTCGCATTACAAACTTCACTTACAAACTTTTTTCCTTCCATGGAGCACAAGAAATTAAATTTTTTTTTTAATATTCTGGCCATTATATTGAATATTATCAAATTATATTGCGTATCATTATAGTGAATATTCTTTTCAATATAATGAAGGTCATTTAGGACTGGGGTTGTGAAATGTTAAAAGTGTCATAACAGTCCATACAGTAGTTTTGAATGAAGAACAGATTGAAATTTAAGCTGTGACAGAGTGAGTTAGCAATGTCCGAATTATTATAAACAAATCTTTTGAGATAGATTCTTTTAATAAATCAGTTGATCCATTTTGACCCAATGATTCTTTTAGAAATCTCACTTATCTGATTAATGATTTCAACTTAGTAACTTAGTGATTTCTTTGGTTATAAGTGAATAATGACTTTAATTTCCTCTATTTAAAGGGGTCATATGATGCGATTTCATTTTTTCCTTTCTCTTTGGAGTGTTACAAGCTCTTGGTGCATAAAGAAGATCTGTAAATTTGCAAAGACTAAAGTCTCAAATCCAAAGAGATATTCTTTATAAAAGTTAAGAGTTAACCACGCCTACCTAAAACGGCTCGTTCTTTCAAAAAGGCGGGGCATAGAGGAGAAACAATAATGTACAGTATGTGGAAAATAATGTGTTTTTTAACTTTAAACCGCATAAACACATTTCATTACACCAAATACACAAAATAATGTTCTTTTTAGCAGCATCATATGACCCCTTTAACAGGCAAATTGATCATATAGCTTCAGAATGCATGGCATATAGTTGTATAGATATAGTTGTATTTTTTATGATATATTTTATACTTTTATTATGTTTTTATCATGGACTTGTGTCATTTTTTAAGCCTGGAGCTAGGTTCCTGTCCCTATAAATTTTTATTTCATACAAATAAGCAACTGGTACATTATTAGGATCAGTTCACTTCCAGAATAAAAAATTCCTGATAATTATATAAATAACCCCCATGTCTTCCAAGATGTTCATGTCTTTCTTTCTTCAGTCGCAAAGAATATATTGAGGAAAACTTTGTCCTTGGTTGTGATTGTGTAGAGCGCTTTGAAACTGCATTGATTGAAACTACACTTTGGACCTTCAACCCGTTGGGTCCCATTGAAGTCCACTATATGGAAAAAAAAAAATCCTGGAATGTTTTCCTCAAAAACCTTAATTTCTTTTTGGCTGAAGAAAGACATGAACATCTTGGATGAAATGGTGGTGAATAAATTATCAGGACATTTTAATTCTGTAAGTGAACTAATCCTTTAACACATTTCTCCTTTTGTGTTCCATAGAAGATTAAAAGTCGTACAGGTTTGGAATAACATGAGGGTCAGTAAATGATGACACAATGATCATTTTTAGCTGAGCTAATATTTTAATATTTTTAACCACAGTTAATGGTGCTGGCCTTGCTATGGCAACATGTGATATTATCGACTTGCATGGTGGAAAGCCTGCTAACTTCTTGGACCTGGGTGGAGGTGTGAAGGAGAACCAGGTGTATGCAGCCTTCAAGCTTCTCACTGCCGATCCCAAGGTAGGAATGATTCTGTTCATCCGAACCAAAAATGTAAATACCCAAAGTAAGTTTACTTCCACCATAAAAGATTAATATAAAGTTGTTTTGAGAGTGTGATAAGAAACAAAAAGTTAAAGTTGCGCTCCTTTAACTTCATTACAGTTCTCAATTTAGTATTACTTTTCCGCTCTTTGAAGTTTCCTCTGTGTGAGATTTTGTTGACTCCTTGTTGACAAAAGACTGTGGGCTTGCGGCCGAACCCAGTTCTTTTTACCATCATTACGAGCTTGTGCTCTGATCAATATCTTCGCTACAGTCACACTTTTCAGCTCTGGAATTGTAAACACACCAAGACACACACACACACACACACACACCTCATAACTCATCTTTTCACCAATTCTTTTCTCCCCCAGACACACACTTGCTGTCCTCCTCCTGTTGATTACTCGCTCTGGAGCGCAAGATCATTTTTCTTGAAGCTTTTACGAGCCGAGGAGTTGTTTCTCAGATAATGATCCTTTTCCGAAGCAGACAGGAATTCTTGGCACGTTGCTGATAATTTGCTTGTATTTGTTGTAAGCACACATGTCAATATGCACCTGATTTGGTTTCAGCTGTGTTTGTATTCAGGATGCACACTGACATCTTCATAACAGAACTCTGTTTATAATAATGTGAAACAGAATTAATCTAGTATCATGTTCATTGTGTGTCAGAAAACAGGAGTGCTGGGATTTAATAGCACACCTTGCTTTTCGAGTATTCTAGCTCGAAGCTGCAACACCACGCACATGCAGAAAGTGATTTCATCTAAAGATTGAATCACTTCATATTCATATTGTTCTCAGATGAAAGATACACTTTTGTTTTTCTATGAATTTATCAGCAAAGGAAAACAGAGCAGAAAACCATGAAACACAATGGGCAACATTCATTGTTGCCAAACAACACAAAAATATGCATTTATGCTACATTATTTTGCCCACCGAATCATACTTGATTAGATAAAGGAGGCGGAAAGATTGTGTTGAATATTTTCAAAGTGTATACAGTTGAAGTGTATAGTTCCAGTCTCCTCCTGTCTCTCCAGCCCTCCTGTCATCAATGGGGTACCTGAAATTTTCTAAGCTCTATTGGGGTAGAGTGGCGGCCCTCCCCTGCAGTCACACAGTTCCCATTCTGGAGCCTCTGTGTACAGTGATTTGCATTTCACAGAAGCGTTCACAGCCACCCAGGCTCTGTGGTAGGAATATTAATGGGAATGTTAATTATTGGATCCTCTGGCAGGATGAAATACGCAGTTGCCTTCTATCTTCCATCGGAAATGTTTGATTTGTTTGTTTTGGGAATTTTTTCTCTTGCCTCCTTCAAATCGTTCTCATTAATTTACCAACTGATTAGTGGTCAGAATCAACCCATCCACAACTGTCAGAAAAAGCTGCAAAAATGAATGGGAAACGAATAATTCAAATGGTCCTAAAACTGACACCTGAGGTACACCACTCTTCTAGTATAGGAATGTATTTAAGGAATTTTCTGAGGTTCAATACAAATGAAGCTTAGCTGACAGCAGTTGTTGCATGATGTTGATTACCTCCAAAAATATTTTTGACTTGTAATGTGTTACAATACACATTAAAATACACTGTTTATAGCCAATAGAATCAAATATTATACATGTTAACATGAGACGGAACAGAATTACCTACTAACCTGTGTAAAGTTGTTGCTAACTTTAAACTAAAACCTTTTCCAAAATGTTTGTGCAAGGATACCAAGAAGGGAGGTTATGTAACTTCCTTGTTGAAGTAACTTGAAGATATTATGTTGGTGATGATGAATAACTAGTCCGTCCACCTCCAGTGTGGGCCTACTGTAATAATGATTTCAAAAAAATTTACAGGTCAAAAATGCACATTTTGTAAGAAAGAAATGAACGTTAGTACTTTAACACAAATGTGAGCTTGTTTTTCCTTTAAACCCTCCAGTTAAGACAATTTTCAGTTTTGAACCAAGGGTTGGGTGAAATTATGTCTGAGTAATCGACATTATGTGAAATAATGCTGTCAGGCTTAGCTTTTTTTGAACTCTGAATCTTTTTAAAGTACAGCTAGAATTGCAGTGTTGTACAGTTGAGGACTTTGAAAATGAAGCGTGGAGAGTTTAAGCTGATGTACCGCCAGACTGTGTAACCCTTTCTTTAGAGTCTGCAGGGAGGCAAATGTGTTGTATATATGCACTCCTTTGATATACAAAATTTATTTTATTCTTACTCACCAAAGCTACCTTCACTGACAGCTCAAAGGAGAGGCACTCTTGAACTGTCTCCCACTCTCACTTTCTTAGTTTCTCTACTTTTTTTTTACCTCGGACATGGGGCATTTGCTCCCCGGGCCTTTTTCCTCCCATTCCAACCCTATTAAAACAGCCTCTCTTTTTATATTTATAATAGTTAGGTTGATAGATGAAGGCAGTACCATAGACGTACGTGGAGAGTGGACACATTTTGTAACACCTGGATTACATAAGTCAGTCTCCGTCAATAGGCATTGTTCAAGTTCTTTATTTATGACACAGAAATGTGGAAAAAGAGCGATGGAGAACTCTTTACTCTTGAACTTAGTCAACACTTACCACACACGGCACATTGCAAAGTTTTATCACGGAACATGAATAAAACATTACACATTTGCCACGGTTTTTAGAAAAAGCCGAAAGCACCTGCTAGTCAAATCCAAATGGCAACGGCTAAACAACGCCATTATCCCACCCCCTCCCTTCAAAGTTAGATGTGGGAGACGTGGATGGATAGATGTTTTTGCTCGTGGCTATTTGGTCCCTATGCAGTGTAGTTTGGAGTGGGAGTGAATTAGGGCTGTGGCACGTCAGACGTGCTCCCAGGCACTGGGTGTTTGATGAAGGTGCTTGGCTGGGTAATTGTGACCAGTGGGGATTTCACCTGCCCTGGGTAGAGAAGGCTGCAGCACCGGGTTGTGTGATGTGTATTTGAGGTTAACTAGGAGCCGGCGCTGGAGCTTGATACTATTTGCTGGCCGCTGCAAGGTAAATCTGAAACAAATGTTGTTGTGTGTCAGTTCTGTTGGTCGAACTGCTGTGAACATGAATGTTTGAGGTCCCGTACAGCACATTAATGTGTTGTCTTGGTGATACAACTCAGTCATTCTGTCTTGGAGATGACACATGTTTGCTCAGGGCATCATGGGATTGAATATGCCCCTCTTACACTTAAATGGTGCTGGTGCTCGACCAGGGAATTTGCCAGCCTCTCTCAGAACTGGCCCGTGTCAGAAAGCCAGACAATGATGTAACTGATTTTTTTTTGGAAGTATTGAACTTGGAACATACATCATCCTGTGGTGCGAGATATTGTATGTTGCAAGTACAATACTTTAACAATTGTAAATTGAATTATTTTTTTTTTTTAAGTTTGAAAGTATTGGAAACATATTTTAACATCCAAAATAGTTTAAAAAGGTGGTTCACTGGGTTTTTTCTAGGCTTGATTGTGTTTATGGGGTGCAGTCTAACATGTGTTAATGCTTAATTTTTTTTAAAACGCATTCTTTTTCACATAATTTACCTTTATTCCAAACCGCTCTGTCCCTTCTCAGAGAAACGGGCTGATCATTTCCTTCTTTTATGAAGCCCCTCCCTCAGAAATACGCGATGGGCTCTGATTGGTTAGCTAGCCCAGTGCGATTGTGATTGGCTACACTGCCTCTAGTGCGCGTCTAAACATCCCGCCCCTCTCCTCAGCGGTATGTGCTCCGGTTGTATTGTAAACAGCTGCGTCCTTAATATCGCTTATCAGTTTGAGCCCGATTGAGAAGCAGAGGATATTATTGAAGAGGATCGTGCAGAACCTGTGCAAGCATGGCTTTTAATGGTAGGCCTATGTTTTTTGTTTGTTGTTGTCTCATACTTTTAGATACGCTGTTATTTGTAAATGCTACTGCTTATGTTAGCTTTTAATACACAGTTTTATCCTGATTAAAGCTTTAATACAGTACAGCAACCCATG